TATGACCTTGGCACACCGGGGAGCTCACACTGCACTACTGGGATCAAGCTAAAGCATTGTTTGTTTGTTTGTTTGTTTGTTTGAAGGAGTATTTATGCCAGACGTCCAGCCATAAAGAGTGTGGTTGGCCAGCGCTCACCCGTGCTCAGTACGCTACTGCCCCTGCCCAAAGACAACGCTCAGTATCTCTTCCAGAACCATTACCTGCATCGGGGCAGAACCCTTCCAATCCGCAGCCACGACGACCTGCCAGACTACTCAACTGTTGATCTTTTACCCAAGTAAGGAGCTGTTTCCATGGATGTTGGCTGCATTTCTGCGAGGAATGGCTGAAACTTAAGCAGCTCTTGCACCTCGATAGGGGGGCGGTGTGTCCATTATAATTAACGAAGGGCCCTCGAGCCCAGGTTGCTTGCCAGACTCAGCAGGACCAATGGAGTCCTACTGCATGGTGGGAGAGCAGGATTTGGAGACGTAACTGGTGCATGGTCCCTCTGTGTACAGAAGTGAAGTTTTCCTTTAGGGTAAAGCCTGACCCAGGGTCTGACCAACAAAAGGTAAAGTTCTTGTCAGTTTTCTATATCAAGCTGCAAATTGCCGGCCTCCTGCCCCTCTCCCTAGTTTTCCTTAGCCCTGGTGCTTCAGTTACCGTGACTCATTTTAAAACAGGGTTGGCATCATTGGAGCCCTTCGCAGCAAGTTCAATCCCCACACTCTCATGCCTATTGGGGTGATGGAGGAAGAGGAGGAGGAAGAGGAGCAACAAAGAACAAAGAGAAACAGTCTCTCAGCCAGTTCATTTGACCTGGCTTCATCATCCAGCAGAGGCACCCAACTTGGAACCAGTCACCATAGTGTGGTACTCTCGAAAGCAACTACAGAGGGGGTCTACTCTGAGAACGGTTAACAGAAGTGGTACCCTCTAGCATGGGATTGGGGGTAATTCTAGCACCTGTTAAATAAACCACTTTGAAGCTTCATTTGTAAGAGCAGAAATGATTTGTGATAGGTAGTACAGCCTAGTGAATAGGGCACTGGACTGCAATTTAGGAAACTGAGGTTCTATTCCCAGCTCAGCCACTGACTTGCTGGGTGACCTTGGATGAGTTATTTCCCTGTCCTATTTGTTACCTCAGTTTCCCCATCTGTAAAATGGGGGTAATGAAACTGACACCACCCCCTTCTATAAAGCATTTGAAATCTATGTCCGTAAAAGCTAGGTAGGATTATTATTTATTCCTTAAAGATTTCCATTGCAAGAAGATTTCTAGAAGGATTAAAAGTCCTGAAAATGATGGCTTTACAGGAATTTCCTCTGACATGTTTAGTATATTGTGTTTACTCATTTTTTATTCCTGTAATGTTTCACTGGACTTTGCACACCAGCCTCTCTGAAGACTACTGCAAGACAAATGTTGATAAAATTATAGTAGCAATGAATCCCACTATTTAAAAATATAGGGCAGATCTTCAGGTGTTGTAAATCACTGTTGCTCCACTGAAATCAAACAGTTATGCTGATTTACTCCAGAGGAGGAGCTAGCCTGCAGGACGCTGTTTTATAGGCCAACCATTGTAATCAGAAATTACAAGGATAGACCTATAAAACTGTGTGTATTCCATGCCCAGTACCATTAGCAGAAAACCATGGTGAAATCCTGTATGTAAAACATTACCTTAATGCTTAAGAATCATTAAAAAAGGGATAGAGAATAATAGAGAAAATCTTATTGCTGCTATATAAATCCATGATAAAACCATGTGCAGATGTGGTCACCTTGTCTCAAAAAAGATACCTTGGCATTGGGAAAAGTTTGGAAAAGGGCAACTTAAATGATTAAGGGTTTGGAACAACTGCCATATGAGGAGAGATTAGAAAGACTGGGACTTTTCATCTTAGAAAAGAGGAGACTAAGGGAAATATGAGAAGTCTATAAAATCATGACTGGTATGGAGAAAGTGAATAAGGAAAATTTATTGTTGCCATAACACAAGAACTACAGGTCACCAAATGAAATGAATAGGTAGCAGGTTTAAAACAAAAGAATTTTTCTTCACACAGCTCAGTCAACCTGTGGAATCCCTGCTAGAGGTTGTTGTGTAGACCAGGACTTTAACACCAGGACTTTAACAGGGTTTAAAAAGAAGCTGGATAGATTAACGGAGGATAGGTCCATCAGTGGCTTTTAGGTAGGACGGGTAGGAATGGTGTCCCTAGCCTCTGTTTGTCAGAAGCTGGGAATGGGTGACAGGGGACGGTCACTTGATGATGATCTATTCTGTTCATTCCCTCGGGGGCACGGGCACTGGCATTGGTCACTATCATAGGACAGGATACTGTGCTAGATGGACCTTTGGTCTGACCTAATATGGCAATTCTTCTGTTCTTATGCCTGAAAAACAGCACTGGGAGTAGGTTGCTTATCTCACTGATCCTACCAAAAGTCATGGTTTTAATAATAACCATGACACAATCTTATCCCTAGTCATAAGAAATTACAAGGGTTTACCTATGTAAGCGGGGGAATGGTCCTACTATTGTGGAGAACTTTTCTGGCTTCTATACCACCCCGGTGAAATGGACCAGCGAAAGGATCTGAGTCCCCGCTCCCACTTCCTTTACCCCACGGCTCCCTGATCCTGAGGGCTCCCCCTCCACTCTCCTGAATAGCAAGTCCTCGAAACCCCAACAAGGCTGGGCCCAGGTTTCCTGGGGCTTAATCCCCGACTTTGTAGTCACTTGAGGCAGGAGTTAGGGTGTCCCCACTCCGAGGTGCTCTCTTCACACTGCAGGCTTTCTTGACCCAGTGATCATTTCATAAAGTTCAAAGCAAATACAATTTATTAAACATCAACTGATTAAAGAGAAAAGAATAAGAAAAAAATGAGACATGTTAAATGAGAACACACAGTCCCACTCTGTTGTACGGGGACATCACAAACAGCAGTCTGCAGAGTGTAAGGACAGTTCACAGTCTCTTCCTTATAGGCCCCTTAGAGGCCCTGGATATGCTGCAGGGGGGCTGCAGGCTGGACATGCTTGCTCTGGCAGTGGCCACACCGCCTCAAGCTCTAGGTGGTCAGACCCCTCTCCCAGTCTGGCCTGCAGGACCTCTTGGCTGATGGTATCTCCCTACTCAGAGCCTCTCCCCCCACTTTGCTGGTCCCAGCTGCAGGCTGTGCTGCTTTGCCAGGCTCCAGCTCCTTGTGTTGCTTCTCTGTCCTTTTTGGCTCTCTGATCACTGCCAGTCTGCTGCTCAACACAGGGTCTGCACTCCTTGGGCTGTGTGTGCCTGGCTCTTATTTATTTAAATAAATAAATAATATTTCTGCATAAGCAGTACTCTAACATCTTTATGGCTGGCTTAGAACAACGTTTCCTCAGATCCCGTCCCCTTTTACCCCTTCTCTATTTACATTACATCAATGACAGCTTTATGATCTGGACCCACGGCCAAGAAACACTGGAGACATTCCACAGAGATTTTAACAACCTACACCCCTCCATTAATCTCAGCCTGGACCATTCTACACGAGAGATCCATTTCCTGGATACCATAGTACAAATCACCAATGGTAAATTAGACACCACTCTCTACAGAAAACCCACTGACTCATATAGTTACCTTCATGCCTCCAGCTCCCATCCAGAACACACCATACTATAGCCAAGCCCTTCGATACAACCGCATCTGCTCTAATCCCACTGACAGAGACCAGAAACTTCAGGATTTCTACCAAGCATTTATAAACTTCAATTACCCACCTGGGCTACACCTAGACTGGCATGATTTTCCACAAATGCTTTTAATGGAAAAGTTTTCCGTTAAAAGCATTTTCGGAACAGAGCATCTAGATTGGCACGGACGCTTTTCCGCAAAAGCACTCTTTGCGGAAAAGCGTCCGTGGCCAATCTAGACGCGCTTTTCCGC